AAATTAAATATATCTATTTATATTTTTTTATATTTTTAATACTTTATAACTAGTTTATAATTACTTTTAATATATAAATAACTATTAATAGAAACTATTATAAAGTACTAGAATATATTTTATATAATAGAAAAGTAATATATATATAGTTAAATTACTAAATATAATATTTAAAGAGAATTATAAAAAGCCTTTAATATTAGCTATTATCTATATAAAACTAATAAGATATTTAAAATATAATATAAAAAACAGTATCTTTTTAGGAAATAGTTATATATATTAAGTATATTTATTAAGTATTTATAAAGACATTTATAAAATAAAATTATATTTAATTAAAAGAATATAATATAGTTAATTTTATTCTATAAAGAATTAAAGACTAAGTTATTATCTTTCATAAAAGAATATATATAATTATAAACTTATCTATAATATTATTTTAAATATATTATATTTCAAGGTAATATATATATTAAATATATTTATTAATTATTAATTAGAACTTTTATTAAAGAAAATTACATTTCTTAAAAGAATTTATAATTAGAGGCTAGTTAACTATATAGAGATATAATACTTATATACTAACCTTTAATACTTTACTATCTATAATAGTTATATAGGCTAGTATAGCTCGTGCTGTAGTTCTGCGGCTGTCTACTTAGCTTGCTAGCGATCTTGAGGTATAAAGTTTCGCGAGGTGTGTCTTCGTCTGGAAACCCTCGTAGATGAGGTGAATATCCTGGTTTGTGACTGGCATGGTAGGATAGAGCCTCCCATAGATGGTATGGAAGCATGGGATACCGAGCTTAACTGAGATAAGTGCAGTCGTCGGTGTATGGTGCTATGCTGGCCGGCCATCGGTTTGTCGGGCTCCATGAGCTCCTCAACGATTTGTGGTACTCCCCACTAATGACGTGACTAGTCAGAAAAGCAAAGAATAGCAAAAGACTCACCTAGCCGGCTTAAAAAAAATTATTATATCATGATCAGGTACGACGTTTGATGATAAATGCGTATACTCGATCGGTAGTGGGATCGCCGAATGATTGGAGTCCTCTCGTGCGCCCTACTCCGTGGAGACAGCGGATAAGCTTGCCGATCAGAGCGTTTTCCCGATATAGAAGCTAAGACGTACCATTAGGGGTCCTCTCATACCCGTAGCCTTGATATACGGAGATTGGTTACTAGTAAGGCGATGCGCCACTATTGTGATTGGGGTGTGCGGTAGGGACGGAGTCCCCTGCCCGAGACAATGGTTGGAAATTGGCTTATCATTTGAGATACAGACCCTATCCTAATTTGACTTCATTCCAGCTCATCCAGCATATATAATCTCCCCGAGCAGAATGAGTAGCGTTTTCTCTAATGTAGAAGCCGGGCGTGAGTTCCACTGTGGCTAACAGATAGACCGTCTGAAGTTGGTCTGGTGACAGACGGCAGTCAGACCGACAGACCGCAATGCTCGGCTGATCTGTGTCGGACATAACTTTACTACTAACGAAAGGCAGGCTCTGAATTGACGGGTCTATTATCATGTCACATAATTTGTAGTAATACACATAACTGCATTATCTACATGGCCTCTCGATATTATCACAGCTAATACAAGTACAAGTGAATGTTATAGCTAAAAGTAGGACAACGAACGGTTTTCTCTTCTTCCAAAGGGCGAGTTTTTTTTTGCTTATCAGATTGACCTTTAATGAGGATATTACGGAATCATATAAGCGCAAACACAGGAGAAGGAGTACAGTGAGTGGTCCTGCAACTAACAGGATCACCGCCTCTTAGGTAGCAATGAAGTGCCTAGCTTGCTTGATAACCGAACCTCATGAACAAGGACATCCCAGACTGTACGTAGTGTGGTTTCTGTTGGCCACCGTGCCGACACACCCAGACAATTCTCAAAGGCTTCTCTGAATTGTTGATAACATTCATCGACCTCGCCAGACTTCCGTCGACACTCGAAAAATATAAGCCTCCCAATGTCAGCGCACTGCTGCTGTAACCTTAGGGCAGCAGGCTGATTCTCCTGAGCAGTCACCTGTCCGTCTGCTGACGTAGTTAATTTAGGCTCCTCCGCGGCATCTAACCACTGCACGGTTTCCCCAGCTTTCCCACCTCGAATATTATAGGAGGCGCAGACGTTTGGCTTGGAGTTCTTTGAGTCCAACATGTCGTACTTTGGCGGCTCCTCTCCGTTGAAGCGCTGGCGCTCACTAAAGCCGAGGGGTAGTTTCGCCCTAGTGCAGTCGAAGGGAAAATAGCGGTCGACATCGCGCTTTGCGTCCATTTTGGATATGACTTCTTTTTCAGGACACCAGTATCCCCTTTGATCAAAATAGATACCATCAAAGATACAGTTTTCTGTACAGAAGAATGATTTGTCTGAGGTCTTTATGGCGCTAACTCTGCCACCAAGGACAGCATTAACTCCTGCGGCGGTACTGAGCAACAAGGGTAGGGCGAGCATAGTAGATGGTGTAATAAGCTAAAAGTGAAGATGTAGTAATGTGGGAAATGTAGGTTATACAGAGTCAAAATTATAGCTTCGATAACTCAAATTCCTCAGTCGAGGCTGCTAAGACCTTGGGCTAGGGGACGTTGAAAAGGCTATATATAAGGAAAGATAGATAAGAAAGAGGCTAAGCCGGGGAGAAAAAGAACTATTTTATAAAAGTAGGGACTAAAGCTATTTTAGTATTCACACTCCATAATCTTGATCCTGTAATACGGACTATTTATGCACGACGCTGCTTTGGTTGAGCATAAATGAGTTACTTTGTATGCCTATAATTGTCTCGAACTACAACCACCGAACGGAATTTTTGTCTCCCCACTGTAAGTCCGTTCTCTGCCCTAACTATGCCTAAACTACTGTGGCGGGGTATTGTTCTAGAATGTGGCTAATTAACAAAGCACAGTTGTCTACAGGGGCGCATGAGCGGACCCTACGTCTTGGCTTCTTTATTGGTAAAAACACTTCCTCCACCGGATCAGCAAGATTTCGCACTATCAGCTACAGGTGCAGCAACTACACATCTAGGCACTCATCTCTTGCGCTCTGTACAGAAGAAGCACTGCGTAGCTCTTTGTATCTCTTTGCTGTTATATAGTTTGTTTTATGTGGAAGCTCCTACATCGTATGTTCTTGCATAATAGGTGCGAAGTATATACAAGGTTGTTGGCCACTCATGAGTCGTTAGCACAAAGAGTACTCCGTACATGAAAGGTAAAACTTGACACAACGGATACTCAACCCACTTCTCTCCAATTTAAAACGAGTCGCTTCAGCCTTGCATTATCTAGCATATGGATTCCTTTTTGCACTTTTAAGAAGGTAACAAAGTTACACAACCGGTTGGCCGACAAGGAAAAACAATGGTTGTACCTGTCATACAACATCTCGGTTATAACTCAAACACGTTGTACACGTCATTTGCAAAGGAATATTTGACAGCATCGAATCAAAGCTACGATGCGTCTGTCTACCGTCCTCCTCGTCGTCCTTTCAGCTTTTGCGGCGGCTCAGAGCAGCGAAAGCACCAGCCTGGCCACCGTCGCCAGCGCGTCAACGACCACCATCACGATACACCCCACCAAGACGATCTTCCTCTCGCGCGTGCATACGACCGATTCGACTTTTGACAGCATCAGCGTCGTCCAATCCACCGACGGCACCATTCTTCCGACCACCACCGAGTCATCTACCCCGACTACAATGCCTTCTCCGACCAAAGGTTTCGCCGACTACAATGCTCTCGACGCTGGCAAGGTCGTCCTTGCCGGAGTTGTTGGCATTGTCGTCGCTGTCGGAGTTGCTGGCATGGTCTTTGCCGGCTTCTGGTGAATAGGAAAAAGAGATTTTCTCTCTCGAAATCCAGATTATACAGTCTTGAGGAGGACCTCGATGGATGTTGTCGCCATGTGTTCTTCCACTTCAGGCGGCAATGCAATCCTCAAAAAGACTTTTACAGATGCTTTGTCTTACAAGGATTGAAAAGGTCGTTCTTCCGCTATGTCAAACTTTTTGTGAACTAATCCTATATTTTCCTCCTTTCATACCGCCAGGCGCTTTTCTGGATTGTTTATGCTTGACGACCTGAACAAGTACGAACTAGGGCGGCAACCTTACGCAAAGACAAGGGCCATTGTTGGGCAAAATTTGGAAGATATATAACTACATCATGACTTGTCTATACTGTTACCTGTCTTTTGTCCTCGATGCTTGTCTACAGAAAAGATCGAATTCTTCGTCTGTTTTTCCCGTCGACAGAGGGAGTTCAGCAGCCGCTCTGGACCAAGACTGTCGACATCGCAGGCTCAAAAAAGAAAGAAAAAAGGCGATGAGTAAGATGTCAGAAACGTGTCCCAAGTTTCCACGGGTTCCCCGAGCAAAGTCAACAGGTGGGCAGCAGCTGTGTGTCTTCGGCTACAGCAGATCAAGCCTCTGACTTGACTTTCATCGAGTCGCCGCATACACACCAAAATTCGGGACAGACACGGTACCCCAGATCAACGAGATCAACAGCTCAATCCACGAAAGGAGGAAATGGATTGACGTATTATACATCGAGCGTAATATGGCTTGAGTTGGAGTTGACACCTTGAAGAGATGTCACCGGTATTCATTCTCCCCGTCAAACGGAAGGCGGATATTTGATATCCTCTCCCTGAAATCGGTCTTGTCTATAACAATGGACGTCGAAGCACATACTGTATCCTTCAGACAGCTCAGTTGGTCTGACTGTATGTAGAGGCGCTAGTTTGCGAAGCAGAATGGCTGTCACTATTTGAATTGTCTAAAGATTGCGACGCCAATTTCGCCCTTCTAAGTTTTCCAATATGCGATTGATAAACATAAATAATGACTCGGTATAGGTGGCACGGCGGCAACCCGGGGTCAAGGCCATGGTTCTAGAGCACATAGCCATGTGCAAAAACACGCCGTTCGGCAAGACGCGGCGGCGATCCAAAAATAGACTCCACAATCTGACGAGTGTTGCTACCAAGATCGATTCAAAATCCAGCTGGCTGAAACGGACAGGTTTTTGGGTGTCTGCAGCCTCTCCCGCAGCTTCCGATAAGCTTTAATAAGTGACGTTTCAGTTAAGGGCCAACGCCTCGGCCTTCCCCGCGATGGAGACTACATAGGATACATGGCACGTGGCAAGCCGCTACATGTCAATAGTATCAACACCTTGGATGTTGCTGAAATGAGAATGACGTGCATCAATTCAATCGATACAGCCAGGCACTCAAATTGATGGACTCAATCCATCTCAATGGCGTCAACGTTGACCACTGGTTAATATCGGCGGACCAATTTGGCAACGGGATAGGGCATTCGCTGGCACCCCGCACTCCGTCTCAATAGTTACCAGGCTGCTGATACTTTTGTTATGGCTCAGGGGCCACATAAATTGAAGTAGTCTATACTTGGTCTGCCTCGTCGCGCTTTGAGCTTTTATAGTTACAGTAGCTACCCAAAGGTGACGTGGAAAAAAAAAAGACATACTACCCTAGAGGGATAACACTTTAAAGAACTATAACTAATTAAAAATAAAAAATGTAAAAAAACTACTTAAAAATATTAATCTTTAATTATTAAATATTTATATTAAATAAGTAAGATATAATAAATTATAAATTATAAAAAGAAAAATATAATAATAAAATAAATAATAAAATAAAAACTACTCCAATATAAATATATAATATACTTATGTTATAGCCACTAGCTATCTTAACAAATATAGCCCTCTTATTAGCCTAAATTAATATTTAACCCACTTTTATACCTAGATTAATAGCTATAGGCTAAGGCCTACCTAATAATATTAACTATAATTAAGAACACTAACTAACTTATAATATAATATATATATATATTTCTTAATAAACTAATACTAATTAATAATTATAATAACTATAAATAGTTAAGGACTATTAGAAAAAATAGTCTTTTAATTTAATATAAAACTCTTTATATTATAAAATAAGTTAACTTTAAAGATCTATATATAAATATACTATATTCTAAAAAGTTTTCTTAAATATAACCTTATTTTAAAAAAGATCTATATACTTAGTTATTAATTCTTAAAGGATATAATTATTTTATTTTATTATAATAAATTAATTTAAATTAACTTTAAAAATAATCTTATTACCTAAAAGATCTTTTTTAGAAACCTTAAATTTACTAGTTTAAC